AAGAATTTGCAATTTTATCTTAGTCTCAAAACTCAATTATGATAATTGATCAAATTTTGCGATCTGTTGTTTACTTTTGAATTCGAAGAATTTATACTTACAATCTGTGTATAAGATATCTAATTTTAAAGTTACAAAATCTTGAAAACATATGGGTTTGGGATTTCAAAACTATTTTTATTTTAACTTTCAGAGGTTTAAGAATTGAACATTGTTCATATTGTAAACTTTTTCCTATGTCTCAAACATAATTATCAAAGCCAGAAAATTTGAAAATTATAAATTAGAAGATCTAGAATTTAGTGTTGTTAACTATGTCTAAGATTTAATTGATGTTTGAATATATATGCTCTAAAAAACCTAGTTACAAAATTCATGGAATTATCTAAACCTGAGAATTATCTTACATGAGACTTATTAAAACAGCAAAAAGTTATCTTCCATTTCATTTCACTTAATTAATGTTGGTATCTATGACAGATACGTATTTCGACTACAATGTGCAGTTTGAGATCCATATGATATCCGGGCAATATTTAATTTAATTTAAAAAAGCTTGAACAAACGATCATGGCCCGTTCAAAATCAGTATGCTAATAAGACTCTCCGAAGCGTTGTTATGAAATAAATACAATAAAATTGAATTTTTCACCATTAACATATTACGGACGCCACAATTTTTGTTTTATTAAAGTTTTAAAGCAGTTGATATAGCCAAATTATAAAACCTTCAGTGACGACCATATTGCTTTAACAACCTCTTGTAAACCGGTATACAGCCATGTCATGGCCAATTGGGCCAGTTTTAATGCAATCACTAAAACTCAATATGCAAACTACCTTAGGAGCATAGGTTTTATGTCAATTTTATCACACTCTATACGTGGTTAAAAAAAAAGAAAGTATAAAACCTCCTCCTGGTCAGAAAGTTTTAACAACCTTTTTATGACTACCATAAAACTATATTACAACCGCTTAAATCGCTCCTGAAGAAATTGATATATGATACGCAAAATATGTTGACAAACTTGAAGGTTTTAAAATTGGGTTCATTTGGATGATGGTTAATATTGAGAAATATTTTATTGTGGGTTTATTCTTTCGATGCTTGATGTGAAATCATGATCAATGTCAGTTTGTAAAAATAGCTGATTTTGTTGTATATTGAAAACAAGACGACTTTATTACAATTTGGAACCAATCTGTATATGCTCCAAAGCATGCCGTGCATATATTTATGGTGATTATTATTCCAAATTGGAGCATAAATTCTGTGCGCCATATGAAAATTAAAACATAGGGATATTTTTAATTTGTCTACATTAGAACCATACATTAAAGAATCATTTAAAGTTTATCTATTTAGTACAAAAAATGTTATTACTGTTGAACAATAACCAGACCAAATATATTATTTAGTTTTACATAGATGTATGTAAGTGTTTTATCGCCTATCAATTAAAGTGTAATTATTCATATTGTGTGAAATTTTCTCATACTGCGACATTTTTTCGTTATAACTTGCTGCTCCAAAAAATGCCTCAATGTAACATATCCTCCTAGATTGATATTCTAAAGCATAACATAAACCTAATGGTTGTATCTTAGCATTTCCAAGTCCAACTAGAGAGTGTTAAGTTATATGTTAGCTCTATAGCAAGCTTGCTGGTTTTATTAGGTACAGCGAATCAAAACAAAACAAAAGCCTGGGCAACCTGTCAAAAAGTCAACATTCCAAGCGATCCTTCTATTTTCTCTTGTAATCAAGATGTAATAAATGCTCATTGGCTCCATTAAAAGCTTGTACAATATACGGAGGCGAACCAGCCCCAGGCTGAAAGCCTCCCTAATAAAGAAAACTTAACTTAACTTTTACAATACAAGGTGTAAAGCCAACCGGTGAACACTCGTGTTTATTTCAGTTACCCTGGGGACGTTATTTGTGATTAGCCCCGGCCCCTTTAAAATTGTATCATTATTTATGAACGTTCCTTATATTGGAAATAACGTTTCACATTCATTTAGTGTAAAGATACTGAATTGGGTAAAGAGGCGACACCTTATCCATTTGACAGGTCTCCTGCTTGATTGGAATAACTTTTCCTATGACTTTGACAGATAATCGATTGTTCTAATTTCGACATGTCGTCTCTTTATAAATTCAGGCTCTTTAATCTGGTGATGGCCAATTTTCATTCGAATAATCGATTATCGAACCGAAAAGTAAAATATTTGTAATCGGTTATATCATGCCGATATATGCATTAACTTATCCAGAGGATCATCACCGATCGTTTCAAACATGTGCTGCACTCTCATTGGTGGAAAAATGACAGCACAGCGGACAAAAAATAATTGATTAGTTGTTAATCGAGTAATTAAAAAATGGGACATCTCTGATTTTGATGTGATTGTTTTGATCAAAATGAGGGCAAAATTTCATCTCTACCGAGAGGGCAGCAAAACCACAAAATTACCTTGCATACGGGGGGTATTCATTGGATGAAAGGGACCGTGAAAGAGGACACTAAAATAGAAAGTTTTTCTTTCAACAGTTTTATCTTAGTATATTCATCTTTGGTAAAGCCGTGATGCCAATAGTGGCCATCTCCAACCGGATTTAGTGAAACTGACTGTGTAGTTTTAAGAAGAGTTCGTGGATCTTTCGGAAGTGTATCGGAAAGCCGCTTGTTCAATATTTTTAAGAGCTCCTTCACCGCACTGTGCCTTATGTTAAATGAGGGAGTCCATAACTGTAGATGCTCCAAGAGTTTCATATTGGCGATCGTCTCATCTTCATCGTGTTAAAAAGCACTGAAGGCACTCGATTTATTCAATTTCCACGCACTCATTTTCGCCATTTTTTGTTTTCATATTTGTAACAATTTTCAGAGTATTTTTTGTTATTGTTGTAGTATTTTTATAAACAGTGAATCTTATAGCGAATTCGTTTATTACCGGGGTTAACACCAGTTCCAACCCAGTGCGAAACCGAACTTTTTGTTAGTGTGAACCTCAACCTTAGCTAGGTTTTAAAAACAAACGAGCAAACTGACGTTTGTCAGAAAACAAGCTGACGGAGATTCACTGTTTAGAAAAATACTGATAAAAATGATAGCTGTCATGAGACTTTAATGAAGGAATAATATAGCTTCAAGTTTATATCAGCCATGAAAAGTATGCCATTAAACATAATTGCATGTTTTGTTCTGGTTTTATTCTTCAGTTATAAGTAGTGATACAGAACCACCTTACAGCTACCGTTAAAACTATGAACTACAACCACAGGCTACAATGGATGCTATGATAAAACAATGATAAAATAAGAATACATCTTCCAAGCATTTAGATTGTTTCTTGGGTAGTAAGCTTCGCCATAATAGGTCATATTATTGGGCGAAGTGGAAATGTATCCAACAGGAAAATAAAATAACAAATAGTCTTGACGCCTTTTGATTGAATGGCAGTTCCAGAGTTTCTATTTAACCGTAGTTTAACAAAACAAAACAAAATGTCACAGGCACCCTTCGGGAAACATTTCTAGCTACGCCAATGGTCACAGCGAACTTTTGAGGAGTCTAGTTTGAATTCAAAAATACAATATACTATGTTCAAAAGATATTCTCCATTTTTTTTAGAAAAGGCTTAAGAAGACTGTGGTGTTAAAACTGTAACAAAAGCTGTAGTTTGCGAAAGAGCTGCACAATTTGAAGTAACATGGTTGTAAATACGCCTAGACAGTTAGAAATAAATAACTAATTAAACCATGAATTTAACATTTGACGGAATTTATGTTTGATATACAAGCAAACATCCGGAGTGATTTGAGATTTGGGCGTAATTGCATTTGTAAACAAACACGTCAATCACCGATTTCTCACGAATAAAAGCTCAATCTCAAAAAGTAATAACACCATGAGGTAGAGGAATAATTCCTCTATCATTTGGTATAGTTTGTTTGTGAGATTGAGCTTTTATTCAAGAGAAATCAGTAATTGACGTGTTTGTTTACAAAAGCAATTACGCCCAAATCTCAAATCACTCTGGACATGTCATATAGAGTGCACTGAGACTGAAAAATATGTTACTCAAAGGATTGCGTTGAATTTACAGTCTTTTGTGATTTAATCTAGAGAAAAATGTGTTTGTAAGTTAAGGTTCAATTTACTTTGATGCTTTTTGGAAAATTTCAAAAGCAGTTTTTTCCGACTCATTATTTTAGATTGCAAAAAGCTCGCGTCATTTTGTGTAAAATATCAAAAGGAATCGAATAGTGCGAGCTTTTTGCAATCTGAAATAATGCGTCGGAAAAACTGCTTTTGAAATTTTCCAAAAAGCATCAAAGTAAATTGAACCTTAATGCAAACCAGTGAAAAACATTGCTCTAAAAGAAAACCTCATTTTGATAAGATATTAAGTAACAGTCAATAAATTCATACTCTATAAATTTCACAAAATACAGAATACATCGATGACCAGGCAAACATAATAAAATAAAATAAATTAACGCTGATAGTTGGATAATCCAGGATTAAGGGTTAAAAAAGAACACAATTTTTCGGTATCGTGATCAACGTCGAATTAATGTGACTGAATCAACATTTTTCAACACAGACAGAAGCTATAACAATTTCCAATAAGATAAACCGAACGCAATCATCGTCGGTGTATGAAAGCAACACATTTTTATTTCATTCATTGCGTGCTGAATTTGTGTTGCATTTGGAAGGGGGAGACAATTGAGAAACGCACAAAAACAAAAAGCTGCTTACCTATATGAGAAAGGGGAAGCGATCCGTATGCATAAAGGACATGTCTGTCAGGCGCACATGTTTCACCCCCACACACATGCGTTGTTAAGGGTAACTGAACTATGACGATCATTGTTGACGGTGGACAAACAGTTTCAATTTTTAGTTCTTCGCATATGATACGTATCTAGAATTAGTAGTTATTTTGATTGCATAAAAATAAGTTTTAAAATTGTTAATAATCATAAAATGAGTGCAGAATCGTCGAAGAAAGTCGATACATTGTAAAGCAAATGGTCACTTTGATTTAGAGCAAATCCCTTACCAGTAAATTGTATCATTTCTTCACAGGAAACTATCATCATCCGACAAAATCGATACTCCATTGTACAAGAAGAAAACGTTCGATTTCACCGATTATGCATATCGTGAGGCTGTAAATCGACTCAAGTTCCTTCTCACGGAAGCATATGAGCCAACTAAGGTTGCCACGTCGATCTACTACCGCGGAGTGGATGATGTTAAATCGGAAGCATCGGACAATCAGTCGGTCGTGGAGAGGCCCTCGATCACAGAAGTTTCGAAATATTTCAACCATGGTGCTCTATCACGGTACCAATCGGGGACCAGTGGCGGCGGTCGTCGATATAGTTTTCTGAATAAAGACTTCGGTACGAGTCCGGCATTGAAACCAGCAGTGTCCACAGCTAATCTACAACCGGCACCATCAGGTATAGTGGTTAAAGTGTAAGGAAATGAACATTGTACAAAAATATTTCTGAATTAGTGTGCAGTTTTTCTCAGAATCTGGAAATCACTCATCCACCTCCAGAGTTGCTTGGATTCATTGAGAAGCAGGAAAACTATATTGAACAGTTGGAAAAGGAGTCTCAGTATTGCAGGGTAAATAATTCGCTAATGAACATGAATTTTCAACACAATCTAGCATTTAATATCTTATCAGGAGGAACTGGCCACCCTGTTGAAAAAGGTGAAGGATGTGGTTTCAGAAAATGAAGCTCTCACGGATCGAGCTCGATCAAAATCGATCTACCAAATTGACACGTCGGAAAGCGAAGATTTGGATTTAGATCGGATGCGCGAAAAAACGAAGCTTTCAGGGCCGAACATTGTGTTCGAGTCGCGAATCAGTGAGCTGGAAGCTCAGTTGGCGCAATCGCAGATCGACCTGAAGAAGCTGTTTAACGAAAACGAAGAAAACAAACGCAAACTGTTGCACGGATCGAGTGATGCTAGTTGTTCCGATGTATACCGGAAGCAAGTGGAAAATTTACAAAGGTGACCATTTTTGAAGGCAGGTAATTGAGCGTCGAATTTTAATTGTTTTATAATTTCGTGCAGGGATAAACACAACCTGGAAGAATCGGTCCGGAAGCTCCAGCTAGCCATTGATCAGCTGAAGGACTCCGAAGCGACGAACTTCTCCAAATCTCAGCGAAGTCGTGATATGATTGAACATGTTGCTTTTGAGCGAAACCAGGCGGAGATTGAGATTCGGCGGTTAAAGGTAAATGAGTGAATATTTATTATACATTACTTATAAGAGGTTGTCCTAATACCACATGGACACTTTAGTGGCGGGCTAAAATATAAACGGCACATAAATAATTCGCACCTTGCACTTGAAATGATCATCATTGCCAATAAACCTGCTTGCTCAGGAGCAACAAACTATTGAAATTGAGTAATAGACTAGGGCAAGGTAGCAATTGAAATTTAAAAAGTTGCAATAGAAAATTTTGTTTTCGCCAGTAAAACCACAAAAAAGCAACATTAAATTGAAAAGTTGCAACAGTGAGGTAGTTGCTCAGAATATTCCGAAAAATTCTCTTGGAATTCTTCTCAGTACAGTCAACTCTCCCTTATTCGATTTTCAAGAGATTATCTACTTACAGAACATCGGAAAAAAAAGCATTGCAATTCTAGCGTTCAGAATAATAAGGACCTAACTTTGATGACAGATTCTCTAAATCGATTTTCTCTTCGCATTACCACAGTTCAGTGAACCAATTTTCCGAAATTCTTAAAATACAATGTAGTAAAAGGATGTACTAGCTAGCAAAAGCAACATTAAACGCAACGAGAAACGTTAATCCAGAAGAGTTATTAACAAAAAAGAAAATCGATGAAAAGAATCGATCTTTTTTTTTTCTTCCTTTATTTAGGAGATTTTTAGCCGTAGGCTAGTTCATCTCCGTAAAGGGTGGGAAGCCTTTGAAAGAGGTCCCCCAGCCACATTGCTTAAGTATCATGCTACTTTAACCTTTGATAATCTACTTAGCTAAAACATTTAAACAGCTAGTACAATAACACAGTAAACAGCATACGAAAAAGACAGACTAAAAGGATACAAAAAAAGAAGAACAAAATATAAAATGAACAAAACAAAACCAATAACAAAACATAGGTCCACTGTAGGAGGTCCTTGGGGGCCCCGTCCAGTGGGGGGATGTCCGGACGGCCGAAAGAATCGATGGTGCTAAATCCTGCAGTATAGCTTCGCCGCCTTCAAAAAGCGCAGTACAGCTGCTTGAGTTGAGAGAACGTCTGCTAGCATGTCCCGTACGCTGGCAGGCAGACCGTGGAGGCAGCGAAGGCGCTCGAATTGTGGACATACGCATAACACGTGCTCCACCGTCGAAGGAATATGGCAGAACTCACAGGTCTTCCTGAAGGGTCCTCCACTGAAATCTTGTGAGATTAGGGAGTGTCCTGTCCGGAGTCTGGAAAAAATCCTCTGATCTCGCAGGTTTGCAAGGTCCGTCCACTTTCCGATGTTACCTTTAATTTTTATAATAAACGGAAGGCTGGCACTGGACCATTCCGTTGCCAACGCTATCCGCACTGTGCAAGTGATCCATCTCTTTACGTCCTGCAACGGTACCTTGTGCGAGTACCGAGGACCCGATGGGCCTGACCCGGCTAGATTGTCCGCTAGACTGGGTCCTCCGAAGAAAGGGCCTGAATAACTCTGTGGGAGTCCGACAGGATCAGAATTGGGCGATCCGCAGGAACCGTGACGGCATGAAGAATAGCCGCTGCTTCTGCCGAGAACACCGAACATTGTTTTGGCAGACTTCTACTCGTTGGGGAAATGTCACCAGCGATTCCCATTCCGACTCCAGCTCTAGATCTTGACCCGTCTGTGTAACGATGCATGTAGTTTGGGTACAATCCGGTCAGCTCTGCTACCGATCTCCTAAGGGCTCCCCGTCCCCGGCTCTGAACTTCTCCTTTATCCGGCTGTCGATGTTTGGTGCGGGAGATTGCCAACTCTTATCTCCGTACCAGTGAATCTTGGCCACTGGGGGGAGCTCTGCGTTGGCGATTGTACGGAGAACTCTGTCCCCCACGCTGAGGAGGCAGATTCTGTCGGCGGTATTTGCTGAAAATGCAGCGGCCTTGCTGGCAATGGCTGCGTAGATGCGGTACCGGAAAGGGAGAGTGTCGGCTTCGACACAGCTGGCATCGGCTGGCGTCGAGGGTAGGAGACCGGAGATGATGCGCGTGTAGCTATTGTACACCGGAGCGAGTATTTGTATTGCCTTTTCGGTAGCGATGCAGGTCAGCTCCAGTCCATACATCAGCCGGCTGTCTACGATGGCCCGGGCAACACGGAAACGTAACTTCTCTGTTGTTGGACCGGTGGGGACGGGAGATTGAATCGATCATCGCAGTAGGCCCTTATGCTTCTGAATACTAGAATTTGTTTTCTTCTTTATTTTAGCGAATTTTAGCCGTTGGCTAGTTCTTCACTTTGCAGGAAAAAGGTATAAGGCCTGCCTTGGGAAATAACACAGTTGGAATTTACAGAGTTTTGGTTGGACGACGTTAAAAATTTGGGAAACACAGAAGAACAAACTAGACCATTGACATTGAGTTAACTTATTGATTAATCCGAACAAGGCAGAGCTCCGCCGTGGAAGGCGGTGCCCCCCTCCGATAGAGATGCCCCGACGGCCGAAAGGAAGGAATCGAACATTGAAAAACAAACCAGCGTCCTTCAGGAAGGAGATCAAGGTAGCCAGGATCGAAGGTTCGTCGCACAGTATGTCGCCGATATTCCCCGAAAGGCCGTAGTGTTGCCGTACGAGCTCGTAATTTGGACACACGCAGAGGATATGCTCGACGGTGGCTGGAATATTACAGACGACGCAATTCTTGCTGAAAACTCCCCCGCCGAAATCGTGTGAGACCTGTGCGAAGCCTGGAGATGACTTGTTGCTCCTTCAGGTTCCCAAGGTCGCGTGCTCTCCTTGATTTTCCTTACAAGCGGTCCTTGGTTTGCCAACCATTCTTCTTGCCACCTAGCCTGCATGGAAGTTTCGACCCATCGCTTGATGTCCGGAAGGGGAACTTCATCGGTGTACCTGGCACCAGATGGTCCCGCCCCGGCCAGTCTGTCAGCGTCGGAGTTGCCAGTGATGCCATAATGACCCGGAACCCAAGTGAATACTGTGTTGGGGGGGGGCACGTCTGATGATCCCCAGAATCCACGAGTGAGTGGGCATGTTGGACCGGAGAGCGGAAATTACGCTGTGTGAATCAGTGAGTATTAGGACTGGTCGGTCGGATGGTGTGATTGCTGCTTCAAAATCGCCGCTGCCTCTGCAGAAAAAAAACAGAGTATTGTGGCGGTAGGCTCAAGCTCGTTGGCGAGATCTTTTCCGCAATGCTATCCCAACTCCGTTGTGCGATTTGGATCCGTCCGTAAAACGGTGCGTATGCCTGGGGTACCCGGAGTTTAGCATCTCCGCGACGGCTATTGGGGAGAGGTCGGTATTGGCTGCTGTACGGAGGATTCTGTTCTCCTCCTCGAGGAGATAGATCCATTCGTTACCCGATGTTTTTGCCAAGTAGGCAGCTCGATTCGAAACCGGAAAGGAAGTACCCCGTCTTCAGTGCAGGGCAGGAGAGCTGAAACTACCCGGATGTAGCCGTTGTAAACCGGTTCAAGGACTTGCAACAGTTTGTCCTTGGCCATTGCGGTGAGCTCCAGACCGTAGAGTAGACAGCTGTCAATAACTGCCTTGGCTACATGCAGCCGGATAGCTCGGTTTTTGGTGCGGTGCGGCATGGAGATTGTTTTGATAAGGTTTATGCGGGTCTTGCAACTATCTTTAGAGCGTGTGGAAGTGTTGCGTGAAGCTTAAGTGTCGATCAACTAGAATGCCGAAGATGCGTATAATTTTTTAAGGGGATCGGTTGATCCCTGATCTTGATAGAAGCGCCGCCGACTCGGTGATCGGAAGCACAGACGTGACAGCGGATATTCTTTGCTGCTGAGATCTGGAACCCGGCTGAGCCGCCCATTTGGCAACTGCCGATACAGCTGCTTGTGCTTAGATACGGGTTCTTGCGATGGTGTCGACGAGAATGTTGATGTTGAGTGGCAAACGAGTAAAGATCCGGTTCATCGCTATTAGAAAAAATCGTCACCGCGATAACCGAGCCTTGCGGCACCCCTGTTTCCTCCGGGAAAGAAGAAGACTTGCTGTTCTCCACGGCGACTTTAAACGATCGTCTTGCCAGAAAGCCTCGAATAAAGGAAAGGATATTTCGCTTGAATCCCCAGATGATGAGCTCTTGAAGTACTAACGGCGTCCATGTTCGAAGGCCTTGGAGATATCCAAGGAGACGATCTCCGCGTGGTGGCCCTTTTCTTGCGTGTCCTTTAACAGTTCTCCCAGCGAGAAACTAGAATTTCTAAAATTCGTCATATTAGTCAAGAATTCAAATGGCCGCGCGCTTCATACGAAGTTGGAAGAAGTATTTAATGTTGTATTCGTTAATTTCTTGATTCAAAAATATACATGTCCAAAAATCTTTTTGAAGGATCAAAATTAAGCGCAATTTTGAATCACAATGAATAATGTTACAGCTACAGCTAGATCTCAAATGATCGGGGAAAACATAATATTAAATTGACTTAGATGCATGGGTATGATGTGTTTTGATCGAGTAAAAGAGGTATCGAGTTAAGGAAATATCGTGTTAGGTAACTATAGAGTTAAGGAGGTAGCGTCGCTTGTAAAATTGAAGAACTTTAAAAATCTTCAAGTTAGGGAAAATATTGAGATACAGAACATGAGTTGTGCTACCTAAGTACTCTCCAAAATTTCGCTTGGAATTATTCTCAGAACTCCCTTTTAAATATGCCTTTTGATTCCTTGGGATGCTTCATGATGCTCCTCAGTTTTACCGTGCAATTATTCTCAGAACTAATTTGGAAATATTCTCTGAGGAATTATTGCTCGGAATTTCCTTGACACGCTTCTTAGAGTTGCTTTTGAATTATACCCTGAATTTCCATTGATACTTCAAAATTTCTTTTCAATTCAAATCAGAGTTTTTTTGAAATACTTCCCTGCACGCTACGAAAAACTCATGTAAATTGTGGTGTTCTGAGACTGAAATATATACAAGCGTCACTTTTGACATAACGCTAACCCTTAAAAGATGCGAAATTCAGCTGAATCACACATATTTTTCGGTCTCCGAACCAGGGCTGTCAAATGTCATTTTCAATGAAATATTTCACGCGATATTTCCATCAGAGATCCTTCTGTCACTATATTTGGATGAGAAAACGATGATAAAGATTTTCTTCAAAATCTCATCGATTTTTTTTTTTGTCATGACAGAAGATGACAGTGTTGTGACCATTGCTCACTCGCATCATTGCTAGCTCTTATTGATATTATTGTTGTACCGCGAAAATCTTAAAAATATATTCACTTTACTTATTACATACTGTTGCTTGCCTAAATTCATCTAAATCAGTTGGTAATTTTGATGTCAAAAACCGCACGAGAATTAAAGAGCCACATGTGAATAGGGCATGCAAGCCTTTTGTAAACAAACATTTGTAAGCCAGCCTTTTCTCGCCGACCGAGGGTCGCTCACGCAATCCAACAACATCCTCGGGAAGGGGAAAGATTCCCCTGCCCGGTGATATTGATGGGTTGCGTTGATGTCATATTGGTGGCGAGAAAAGGACATAAGAAGGTTTGTTTACAAAAAGCTTTTATGTCCATTTCACATGTTGTTCTTGAATTTTTCTCATGAGCAGGCATGGAAAATCATTTACATTCATTTCGTGCATTCATTCACATTCATTTGCCTTTTTTCATCAACAGCATTCCACAAAATGATGTATAGAGGTATAGTAGGTTTTGTTATTAGCTACAACTTTTGTCCATAACTCAAATCTGCATCTCTTATGAATCACGAATTAGAGCGGGCAGACCTTGTTGCTGTTTTTCAGTGAATGTAAAATACATTCACTGAAAAACAGTAGTGGCTTTTGTTCGCTCTGGTTCGTCATGCATAAGATATACAGATTTGACAAAAGTTGTAGCTGCTAACAAAACCTACAAAAGCTCCGTACATCATTTTGCGGAATTCTGTTGATGAAAAAAGTTAAAGGCAAATGAATGTAAATGAATGCACGGAATGAATGTAAATGATTTTCCATGCCTGCTCATGAGTACTTGGTCATTTGAAAATGACAAGAAAGCTCATGATAGGTAGTTTTGTCTCGTGATAGTGAGAGGACCTGTTTTCTCGTTGTCACATGACAACCGTGATATTTACCGCTCCGAACACTTAATTTTACATGCAATGATTGTTCACGCTCCATCCTTTATGCCAAAGATAATTTCTGTCACTGGAATTATGTAAAGTGTGGCGTTTGTGACCTTTGAAAAATTCTCATTATTCTGTAGCTCAGTCAAATTTTAAATACCTGGAATTTTCAAAAAAACATTCAAAATCTTGGATATCAAAAGACTTGTTATGAGCTTGAGCTTGAGCTTGATTGACCGCCCACGGTTGCTACTCTGTTACTGCCAGATTAGCTGTAATTACACAGAGAACCAATAGACGATGCTTGGGACTAGCAATCATCCTCAATGTGTAAAAACTGGTGATCTTAAATTAGGCAATACCAGCGCCGGCCGCGCCCGAACACAGGTCAAGAAAGGAATGGGAAGGATTGTGTTGACATGACACTCGCTTTGATGGAAGCCGAGAACACCTCTGCACTTCCACGAGGAATCACTGGGATGTTGGATAAGAGGGTTGGGTTTGCAGCAGGGTTCGTTTTGGTAAACGATAAGCTGAATTGATGCCCTAACGATCATATAACGCGAAGGAGCTTGGGACTAAACCCACGGTCTTCTGCTCAGTAAGCAAAAACGTTTGCCACTAGGCAGACGAGCACCTTTTTAATCACCGAGTTGCTGTTATTACCATGTAGTCATATTAACAAATAAAACGATTGACGAATCTTGAATGTGGATGGGCCTGAGATTAGACTCATGATGTTCTGCTCAGTAAGCAAAAACGGTTGCTCTAAGGCCACCGAGACCCTCATATCACATAATACCGTTGCTCAAATTTGTGTATCCATTCAAACCCGGAACCAACGACAACAACGAGTTTCGCAAAATACACGATACACAAGCGATTTTACCATAAATCTCTTTGATATGTAAGGACCTGGGACCGCGTTTTTCTGCTCAGTAAGCAGGCCAATGTAACCGACGATCTTTCAAATCCGAAAACTAAAAACTACGAAAAAATACTTAGGCCTTCATTAAGTTCCACTTTCACGCGACGTTCAATGACAGGGTCCTATCCAGGATTACATCTGAAAAATCCAAATCTGGCCAACGCCCACCCTAAACCTAAACCTGCTCTAATCCACCTGAAATGACTAACGAATGGAAGACTTTGACTACCCAGCCATGCAATAGTCTCATTCCGTGCCTTATGGCAACTTGATGATTCTATTGCGCTCATCTTCTGGCACCACCCAGGGGAGACTTGGTCCTGTACCCAATGCTTAACTTATCTCCATTCCACTCAGCTACTCGCAATTTCTTGTGATATAGTGGGCGGAATATTATTATATGAGACAATTCAATGCAGACGTCTTTCCAAATTTGGCAGATCGACAGGTAATCAGTGAGTTACCACGATAGTTGCTATTCAACAACTCGACAACGTCCCATCGTCAACGCCTGCTATGAGAATTTCCCATTGCAGACGCCAACGAAATGACGTCATCGATCTATCGATCAACTACGCTGGTTATCGCCTGGTACCTTATAGCACGATGCTAGGAGGCGAACCGGAAGAATCGATGAGCTACCTCTCCCCCTCTTGGATATCAAAAGACTTGTTATTCTGAAAAATAGATAATCTGCTGTGTTTTTGACGCTTAACTTATAAAAGATTTCCAAACTTCAACATAACTCAAAATTATGCACATTTTTCTTGTTACTGAATTAGGGAAAGGGGTATTCGCCTCTCTTGCTATACGTCCATGATTAAGAAAAAATCGATTTTCTTCTTCAGGATGAGTTGGAACGCCAGCACGAGCGAGTACGTGAAGTTCAACTCGAAATGGCCAAACGGCTTTCCGAGGAACGTGCAAACGCCGAACGACGGTACACGTTCCAAGTTGATCAGTTGGGAGGAGACTTGAGTAGCCAGTGGGACCAAGCGACGAAACTACAACTGGAGGTGGAACGCATGAAACGCATCGAATCGGATTACAAACGGGAACTCAACCAGAAGAATTCCCAGATTGATGAGTTGAAGATGGAATTGAAGAACAAAACGGCAATCTTCATGTCCGATCTGAATCAAGCAAGTGCGGAAAAACAATCCATTGAGCAGGAGATTACTTCACTGAGGTGCGATAGATATTGAGCAGTTCCACGTCAAATGATGAATCGGAAAAACTTGACCAAAGATTTGCATAAAACTTTGCATAATTGTTAGCCACATTTTTACCAAAATTCTGCCATTTTTAATGTTGTAGCTTTTTTTCAAAATGGGGTCTTTGAAATTTTAAAATGAATTGCAGAACGACAACGTCACTTCTGATCGAAACTGGTAGAGAAAAATAAACTGGTAGAGAAAAATTAAGTCTTGCTGGGAAAAATATACATGCATTTTTTTATGATTTTTAGTATAAAATTCAAAGAAAGTGTTAGAAACTCAAATATATCAAAAAGTATATCGTAATTTTTTTTAAATGCTCATGGAAAAATGCCAACTTTTTGAATATTTAAATCCATGGACACTGCATTTTTCATGAGCTTTATTTAAAATTAAATTAATTTTTTGCAGAATTACTTAGCTTTTCTAAACAACCTTGTCTCAGTCGTCATTTCGATCAGAAGTGACTTTTTAGTGCTACAATTGATTGAAAAATGTCAAAGACGTCATTTTGAAAAAAATACAGGATCAAAAATGGCCGATTTTTTGCAAAACTGTGAATGATTATCCATAACACATATTTATGCAAATTGGAGAAGGTCTAGTCTTACACTTTTATTTTTTTAAATCATATTTGGCCTGGAACTGCTCTATTGCAACAACGAAACGATGATGTTGAATGGTGTTAGGCTACATGTTTTCCTTTATCTCTTCAAGATTGCAATTGGAACGAGCAGAGCGTCAATCTAAAGTAGAGGTTTCCCGTTTGAATGCTGAAATCACTTCACTTCGGCAGCGCTTGGATCGAGCTGATGCTGATTTGCTCCATTCCAAACGAGAAAATTTAAAACTTTCAGATGAGGTCGCTTCACTTGGAAAGGAAGTAAGTATCCTAGTTTCGATTTAGTATTCTATAAGTATTTAGAAATCCTTTTCAATTTAAGCTAACTTTCGGAGAGTTGAACAAAGAAACCCGCCCGTCCAAGGAACTTGCGAAAATGATTTCCGACATGGAGGCCAAACATGGTGAGTACAAGTAAAGTTTCTAGAAATGTGTATGGCTTATGCAGTAATGCTAAACTAGAACGCTTAGTCCATGGGTAAGCTATTGAAGCCCACCAAATGTACGCGTATAGACGAAAGATCGACGTTTTCATTCACCCACTCGCATAAACGTGTTTAGAGCCTCTTATTCTATTTGTTTTCATGTGTTTTCCACAAAAACCAAAATACATATACATACATTTTGATGTTGCATTAACTCAGTTTCCACCGAACAATAATTGAACAAGTTCGCATACATCATATAACCCACACCCAGTGAGAAACAATGCGAATGCATATTCAAATTGACTATAGCTATCAGAACCCAACCTGTTTATGCTAATCTTGTGCAAGCACACGACGAAACAATGAGAAAACTGATAAATCTGGCGTTCTCAATAGTTTATCCATGAGCTTTTTTCAACCTTTCAAACTCGCTGGCCTTTAGTTGTAAATCTTCAAATTTTCATCTAAGATAATGGTGTTACTTACATGTACAGATAATTAAGATATTTAACCTTCCGTCAGTTAACGTCTCTATCTCTCCATTTGTCTCAGACGTCATACACCATTCAAGAGGGTAACAATATGACAATAAGATTTATTTCACCCGTTCCGTCACCATACTTACCTTACTAGCATGAATACAATACCCGTGTTTGCCGGATTCTTATGCATTGTTTTCGTTTGCCCTAAAGCTGTTCAAACACCAAAACAACAACCATTGCCGCCGCATTCTACTGTCTCATGTCTCTACTGTCTGTTGTCCACTTTTCTTCTTCCTACTTGTAGCCGCCACCGTGTCAGAGCTCGAGGGCATGGTTCAAGATCAAAAACAGCTCATGGACAAACTAACTGCAGAATGCAGAAGCTTAACGCATAAGTTAGAGGACACGACACTGCAACATAAGTACATATCCTTTGATTTTCCATTCCACTATTGTTTATCGTTCGATTGTTTGGTTTTTAGTAGGTTTTAATTATATCTTGCAGTTTGTTTGATGAATTTGTGTTACCGTACAATTTTTAGTTATATGAATTGTATTAATTATGTATACTTACTTAAATACTGTTGTATAGAATATGGTAGCTGTTGGTACAACCAATTGCATATAATATGGTCAATTAGTAAAATTTAAGTGGTAAAGCGAATAATTTGCGATAACATGATGGTAAGAGTTGTAAGCATGACGTACATTGAGCAGAAAATCTTTTGGATATAAAGGCTAAGATTTTGGGTTTATGAGGATTCCTGCGAGGATAGCGATTAGTATGGAATTTTGGATAATAGGTTACTTATAATTGAGGGGATCAGAAGGAAAGGGGTGCATGTGACAAGCAGAAACGGACGCTTTTTTCATATAATATGAGTCACACACACTTACCCCACAACACTCCCCCATTTGATGTGTGAACGAAATTTATGGACAGATCCTAGTTTGAATGCTTATTGATCTTGTCTGATCGATAGAACGAAAATGGGCGATTACGACGAAGTAGCGCTCTACCCTAGTAAAATAAATATTGAAATAAAATTAAAAACAAAAACTACACTATATACATGTTTTGAAAACAACAGTGGTGAGTGGTTCCATGTGCGTGTTACCAAAAACAATAGCATGGCAAACAAGACACATGCTTATGGAAAACACGTTAAAAGGGTGGTTAAGAATTGTCACCCTTATAACGAGGCCTACAAACCCAAGGCTGCCTGTGACTTTTCTCGTATTTCGTCTTCAATGGAAGTACTTCGATTTTAAAGTTGCTCTTTCAATTTGTTTAATATGCGTTGTGTCCTATTTTTGTTACGTTTTTTTTAGATAAATGTACGGATTTATCTGTACGAAAATAAATTAAACATATTACGTGTAATCTTCGAGTGTTTCATGTGAGAAATGCTTTAAATATAAATTTTCATTTTCCGTCATATACGTCATGATTCCATGGTTGAAGTGCTTCATGAAAGACGAAAAGATCAAATATGAGCGCTCTTGCACTCGTCTGCTTCACCGAAGCATGAAAGAAAGACGAATAAAGCGACTGGAGAAATAGAGACAAACGATTGAAAATTTGAAGATGCTCGACTTCAACAGAAAACAGAAAGTTAGCAGTTTCTTCGCTGCATCGGTTTTTCAGCAGGTTTTCTACCAATCGTTCTGATTTTCTACGAGAGACTTCTTCTCCATTGACACTGCTCACATAGTCACATGCAAAAAATCAGACCGACTGGTTGAAAACCCGCCGAGAAAAAGCGGTGGGTTGAGTGCAGTGGGTAACGCGCTTTTCGGGGAATAGCTGTTTTCGTATTTAAAAAAAAAAATGTAGCCTTAAAAATGGCTTTTCTAGTCGAATTGACGGCTGGTCGAATTGGACAGTAAATGAAAACGCTGTTTAATAGCCTCAATCAGAGCTGGTAAATATCACGGCCGTCATGTGAGAATGAGAGAACAGGTCCTCTCACTATCACGAGACGAAACTACCTATCATTAGCATTCTTGTCATTTTCCAATGATCAAGCACTCATGAGAATAATTCTATTGCGGTTTTAACATCTACATTTCTAACTGATTTAGATTAATTCAAGCAAGTAACCGTATGTGATCGGTAGAGTGAATATATTATTACGATTTTCTCGGTACAAGTAACTTTAAAAGCAATAAATGAGCTAGTAATTACGATGATCACAACACTGTCACGTTCTGTCATGACGAAAAATTCGATGAGATTTTGAAGAAAATCTCTATCATCGTTTTCTCATCCGATGATAGTGACAGAAGTATCTCTGTAAATATCGCGTGAGATCTTTCATTGAAAATAAGATTTGCCAGCCCTAACCTCAATAGCAAAATATTGTGTATTTTTACAATTTTCGAACTTATGCTTATTTCAGAGCTTATCAAAAATGCTACCTTTTCTGATATTGGACACAATGAACAATTTAATTGTCCAAAGTGTCCAAAACCTTAAAACATCAACTACTAGTCAAAATTATAAGCGGCGCTGGTGGTAAAGTAGCGTGATTGCCTCTCTTCCCAAAGGGCCTGGGTTCAATCCCGGTCGGGACCGTCGGGATTACCTGAGGCATAAAATCTCTGAATATTGTCTCCGTCGTGGTTGATGTTGTGGTCAGGCTTGATGGAGCCTCGCTCGCGAGTTTGAAATGAACCGAGCGTAGGATTTTTCTGAGGCGTAGAATGCCTTCTGCCAAATCATTCCACTGAGCTTCAGAGCTTGTGAGCGAAGGGGGATAAAATGAGAGTGAGATTTGCTGCCATTCATGTCAATGTTTTCTATCACACACTCTTACTCTCACTGTGGGTGAACTCTGAGCTTCTTGCGTCGAACAAAAAAGTCATGTAGAGTCTCGAAAAGCGCACCTCACGTCAAATCATCCTCTCGCTGAACTCCACTCTCCCTCTCTCTCGAGGAGTTTTTGTTTCCTTCTTTCATATTCCTTCCGCCACTCACTCGAGGTGAGGGCTGGCTAAACTCGCAGGACAAGAGTGTTTTAGAACCTCCAGTGAGTTTGAGCAGTTTCAGCAAGCCTGGTTGTGGTTCGAATGATCTGAACTCCATGACGATTTGATAAACCTAAAACACGAACGTTATCATTTAATGGTGATTTTAGAGTCTATGAATCTTTTTGGATTTGCTCCGTTGCCCGGAGACCTAACCAGCTCTGGTTGATCTAGTAGATCACATAATTGAACGATTTAGATGAATTCTAATATTTCTTGTTTAGTCTAGGTTTTATTAACACTATTGGGCATGTACCATAGGGGAGTAAGTGCTCAGAGTTGATTTAGCGATATAGTCAAGGATTAGCACATACACACCAAATTTAGATCGCTGAAACTCAGCAGAATTTTACTGATTTTGATGAAAGCTCAGCAAACTTTTCAGCTATATAATGCTGCTGAATTTTCCAGCAATTCCAACTTCTGTCAACATAAGAACATTTTACTCATAATTAGCAAACATTTCAGTAAAATTTCTTCACTGATTTTTCAGCAATAAAAAATTTTGACAGCTCACAGCATTTAGCTGAATAAACTCAGTAAATCAAATTTATTTTCACTTGGGGCTCGCAGCTTCTGTTAAAGATTTTGGATACAAATACACAAATTTTGTCTTTATTTATTATTCTAAAGTCTTTTCCACGCATAGTTTATTAAAATTTAATATAAGCAGTGCTCTTAGCAATATAATTTTATATATTTGCTAAACTCTTTGAGCCATTTCGGGAAGTAGAAGTTTTATTTTATGTTAAGAGAAACGGGAATTCAGGATAGATAGAATTCTAATTTCAAACAATGCATTATTACACACTTACTTAAAAACTCGTCACCTCCACACTCTCCTATCGTGACTATGAATGTTTTATGAATGCCCCTAATATAATATAATAATAAGTAGTATAAACACATACAAACAGACGTAACCCTTCATTGTGTATCTTCGTTAGCGTATTTAACGGTTGATTTGAATATTATCAGTTCCGCGAACTACTCGCCGCAGCGCTGGCATCGGATCACTTTGACGTTTTTATACATTCTATAGAACTTTTCTGCAATATTTTTTGCGAGTTAGCGAGCAGGCTTGTTTTCCGCGAGAAGCCAGAGAGATGTCGTTACTGAGGTCATACTGAGGTATGTTTTAAGGTACTATGTTTTCAAGAAAAACTTTTTCAAAGAGCTACGTCTGTTTGTCTGCGGTATAAAGGTCAACTCCGTACGGAAGAAATCCTTGCTGTGCATGTTAAATCTTCCAAAGAATTTCTTGAAATCATCGAAGTCCACGATCGACGATCGTGTGTCATATTGATATTTTGTTCACAGCATGTCAGCCGCCATAAATATATGGTCGGACTCAAAATGATTAAGCACGATCTCATTTGGACCTACATTCATATTGCTACGGAGTAGAACAAGATGCTAAGAAGTTTTTGTTCTACATACAGCATTCATCATGTTTCTCGAGATGCCCATACGTTTAATGGCTTTATAGAAGTAGCAAACGATGATTGCAGCAATGTCAACACACTTATTATTGGTATCAATTAATGAGGCAAGCCTATACAAACTATCCAGGAACTTTTATTTATTTATTTCGTCAACAAACGTAGACTAGTACAAAAGCAGATGATAGCATCAAAAACATGGCTGTCAGCCAGGCCCCTGATACATACATACATCGATACATAGGGGAAATGGATGTAATGTCGGCCTAAATGCCCCTACATAAATTTAGCAATCGACTAAATTTTCAATAGCGATCAAAAATATCCAAAGTACCGTCCCAATGACGCCTTCATCTAGATAAAATTGATAAATAGCAGATTTTTAGCGATGGACGCAATCTTAGATCCATAGGCCAACATAAGAGCCATTTGCCCTAACATATAAGAGTCCCACTCAATATTATTCGTTTACAAATAGTCTTAACTGATTTAATTGAAGGTAATTTCTGTAGTATTCACTAAAAGATATTGATTCTGTTGAAATGTGAACAATGCACTAAGTTCTTTTAACGTATATTCCTTCCAATGAATAGAAATGATTTGAAACATTATTCGTGATTTTCTCACATGCAACTTTTAGAACATGGGGCAGATAGGGCTAACTACCCCATTTCCGGCCTATTAAGCACAACCCGCACTCTAAATCTAGCGCAGTTTAACACTAAACGGAATTTTATTATTACTGATGGCTTTCAAATTTATTTACCTTTCCGTACGTACCGTAAGATTTGATAAAGAGAAACCAATCGTTGAGATATAGTCAAAAGTCTAACACTGCTTCTTGACGCCAAACTCGGCCTACTGATTCTAAACTCGGCCTAACGCATTGAAACGCAATTGTAACACCAGTGAATTCACTTCGGCCTATCGGATGAAGATAAAAATTGATTCGGTCGGAGCGCTTCTTTTGTTTTTGGGAATAATGGGTGCAAACCTTCATATCACGTGTTCTCATTAACTTCGTTCGATAGCTTATTAACTAAAGTATCGTACCAAATGCATAATTGACGTGTTAACTATGAAATCATGGATTTATTGGAAGTTTTCTGCACGATAGGCCCAAAATGGGCGATTAGGCCGAAGTAGTTCTCTACACTATGATGGATTTTTAATATTTGATTTAATGGTAGTAGTAATTTTGGCTTCAAAGGTTTGTGCCGCGTGTGCGTATTACGGATATAAAGTACTGAGTTTTACATCTTCTTTCCTTTATTTAACGTCGGTCTCTGTTCCGCAATCTAGTGCCAATCACGGACGGACATCGATTGCCATCCATTGACGGCAATCGAATGTGCAGCTACCACACCTGCGTAGGATATCGCACCCATTCAACAACATACATGGGCCGGGACTAACGGGCTTTACTTCCCTTCCGAAGGAAGACGTGACCAGAGATTTTTATGGCTCAGAAAAATCCCACCGACCTCGACTGGGATTGAACCCAGACCCATTGGGGTCAGAAAGCAGTCACGCTTACCACTACACCACCGGCGTCGGCTCGAGTTTTACATGTCTCGATTACTTTTTTGAAGGGAAGTATCAGCTTTTGTAAACAACGCATTTGATCGTCGATATGGCGTAGCTGGTAGCTCACCCACGTAAATGGAAAATTTCCCCTATCTGATGGCAGTGTTAGAATGTGTGGGCGAGCTACCAGTAACGCCATACCGACGATGAAATGCATTGTTTTCAAAAGCTGGTACGTCCCTTCGAAAAAGTAATCGAGAATTGATGAAAAAAACAACTTTTAAGCTTATTTGGAAGAAGCATTGAATTAGTAGTAAGTTTTCTGGATGAAAAAGGATGCTTTGTTGGTTATGTATATTTGAGGTGGACAAAAAGGTGAACCAAAAGGTGGTCGTCTAAGCTTTTTCACATTTAAATGGCTGAGAAGCAACTGTAAACTGTAGCGGGAATTTCTATCTGTAGCTGTAACCAGTTTCTTTTGATTTGCTAATCTGGTTAAGATGTTATACTTAATTTTCTTAAAGATAAATCTTCCAGCTCAAGCCTTCATAGGGGTAAATTTTACTCCAGGTCGGACTCGATTATCCGGAGTATCGATTTTTTTTTCACTCCGGATAATCAAATCGTCCGGATAATCGAATCACAACAAAAAATTCAAATCTGCCCCTCCTCTTAGCTACATCCAATATTGTTAAAATAATCATATTGTATATTATAATACTAAATTATTTCAAATGTCTGCATAAAAACTAAAAAACGCAAAAAAATACTCCCGATAATCGAGTCTAAAATTCCGGATAATCGAACCCCGGATAATCGAGTCCGACCTGTATATCTACTTCTATGCATGTTATCGCACATTATTCGTCCGTACCATTCCTCTAGGTCTTAGATCACTCTTCCTAACGCTTGGTTTTTGGTTTTCATCCTTGCACGTCTCTCACTTTCTCCCTCCAAACTGCTATCCACCACGAATCCAGCAGACGCATCCTCAAAAAGCATGTTCGGTTCTCACTCGCTAATCCTACCGAGCCTCAGTCCGGTTTCCGAGGATCACCCCACTCCTTCGTTGAGCCAGCATCAACGAACCGTTCAGGACGTGAAACAGACCTCGGACCGAGCAACAGTGCATTCCGGCGGCAGTTACCTTCCAGCAAGTACTCGCCCCTGCTCGCGTCCCTTTGTGACAGCCATCATCGGCTCCGATGGCAAAGGGACGAACGTGTTGGACGAAGAGCACGCGGCCTGTACAAAACGGCACCCTATTAAGATTGATGTGAACGTGCGGATCAGCCCGAAACCGAAAACCAAAACCAGCGACAAGGAGGAGTGTGAAGACTAGACTAGAGGAACATCCATCGAAATTCAGTCCCTGCTCCACGCATTAATAATATGAATTATTTAGAACTTTAGAGTCTCTCAGGTATCCCTGCAAGTTTACTAAACCGACAGCACAATACATAATCTATGTTGTGTTTGATGAATAGTTCACGTAGTATAGTAGTATAGTTGTGTGCTTGGTAGACTTTACAGAACTATTGCAAAGTATTGAATTTTCCGGAAATTTTTGAAATATTAGAAACGAAAAGAAGGAGCTGAGACAAACGAACAGTGAATTGATGGAACGTTTAAAGCAAGTCTGGGCAAACTACAAGGAAATCAGTCCAGCTTTCCAAAAACGGAAGTATAGCTCCGACCAGCTGGACGCAGACTCAAATCTTTCATCGGCATCGAATCACGACCCTGAGGTATGTACCGATATTAACTAATCTAATCTGTTTTCTTTGTTTTCTCTCTCTCTCTCTTCTTGCAAACTCATCAGGCAGGAAATAGATGTCCTTCAGAATAATTTCGAATTCCTCTCACAACGCATAGAAACTAGTGGCACCGCCGCCGCAACCACCGGTCAAGATAATCAATACGCTTTACCCTCTGCTACCGTTAACGACAATCGCTATCCAGCCGAATATGCTTCCTCTAGACCTACCCATATCAATTATAGCAGCTACCCTACGGCTGCTACTACAAATCCCACTGCGGCTACTGGAGTTGCTCAAAGTTACTCAAGTCCGTCTCCGAATCAGTCCGTTGCGCGAGATGATGTGAATTATGAAGGTATCGTTCTGCCACAAACTACCCACCAATCACACCTTCATCAACACTAATTAGGCTTCTTGAGAACCTTAGTAAATGCTTAGTTCCAAATTGCAAGTCGATGTTTTATTCACATTGCATATCAGTCGGTGTCAGGGAAATACTGTGCGCTTCATTCAGCATTCATTTATGTTGCGAACAACACTTACTCACATCTCATCAGCATCAGCACCAGGCCTGGTAGTTTCCGCTGTTGGTCGGCGAGAAAATTCTCACCATTATTTGATTTCGCTTAGAAGGGCTACGCAGCGCGCTTTGTGGGAAAATATGTTTCAATTATAAATATTGAAGTCTGCTTTACCGTTTCCTCGCCAATGTTTTCTAACTGGAACATTCGGCTGATTGCTGGTTTCAAGAATTTTATGTTCGCGAGAATTTGATTATTTTATTGAAACGTACATACAACTGTTCAAAAATGTATCCTAATCAATAGCATAAATTGATACATTGCTGAAGACGACAGCCACGTTCCTGAACTTTCCATTTTTAAATCAACAATAACATATACAAATCGGGTTAGGAGAGTAGAGCATTTCGCTTGAGTTTTCAATGTATGTGCTCGGAAGAAGGTTTTCTATATTTACTTTCGGTTTAGGTATCTTCAATTTTAATTTATTATTTTGGAGCAAATACATTCATGGAGATATCGTTTAATGAATCTGTAACCTTTAGTAGTGCTTTGTACACGTAGGCTATACATGCACTTCCACTTCGAATTTTCAATTACACAAATCTCGGAAATGAATGCCCCATTTCACCTGAAATTGCTACTTCATGTATGCTGCAGTACAGCGAACGTGAAGTAACAGTTTCAATGTGGTACGTTTCGGGAAAGCTGATATTTGTGAACTTAAAGTTTCGATGTGGTTACGAGAATAAGGATCTCACAGCGAAATTGAATTGATCATATTAGTCGAGCAGTTTTGGGGTGATCTTCGGCCGCACTGGCATCCGATATCGGATGAGACGATATTGTTGCGGCGGTATGAGAGAGACACTAGTACTAGTTGTGTCCAGTTCGGCAAAATCTTGATACTACACGGCAATATTCAAAATTCTCCTGTGGTCACTCATTTGATCTAACAGTATTGGTCAAGGCAAACCATGTCAATTGTCAGTGACAATGCTGTCAGTGACGAATATGTGCAGATTTTTGTATTAGCTAAATTTGTAACGAAATTAAATGACTTCAGCAAAACAATTATATGGAGCCGTTACACACTTAAATTTTTTCGCCGAGATTCCAACAGCCGAGTAATTCTGCAATTTATTTCGCTGAGATTCAGTCAAACAATTGCCGAGACTCAGCGAACAAATTAAATTTTGCTGAGATATCAGCTAACAAACAGATATTTTGCAGTGATATCAGCAAAAGTGAATGCCGAAGTAATCGGCTGTTGGAGATTTTACCGAGCTAGATTAAGTGTGTACAGCGAACAAACATCTACGCCCTGAACTGCTTGGATAACACTAATGTGACACAGGATGCACGAAATTACACTTTTTGTTACCAGGTGAATCTTTGTCATTGACAAAAAAATGAATGAGATTTTGACAAAGGTTTTTTTGAGGATCAAGTCTATCAGTGACTATGTGAAAAACAATTTGTCAATATCGCACGAAAGTCTGTCAATGACAATGATAAATCTCAGCACTGGTTGTCTCTCTCATATGGACGCAAAAAATTTCGTTTTGTCCGATATCGGATGCCAGTGCGGTCGTACCTTTAACGGTTTCTGCATGACGGGGTACCTCAGTATCAAGCTCCTATTTGAATAACACGGTGTAGAAAAAGCAACAAATTCCTCACGCACATAAAGCGAATCCCACACGTTATAATATTGACGCATAGATACAGGGTTGACTACAGTTTTTCAAATATCTTTGGCAAAATACACCCAAAAAACTAGAAGAAAACTGGATCCCGAGAACTAGAAATTTGATTTTCTTCTAAACATGCTAAATTTCTGAACTTTTCAAGATTTTTTTTTTCAATTTGTTTTTTTTTTTTGACACAATCTACCAGCATGTATCCACGTTTTGAACTGTTATTTTAAAACATTGAAAATAGCTTTAAAAAAATAAAAAAAAAATATTTTTTGAAAAGTGTGAAAAATTTCCTATAAGAACTTATCAAGAGATTATGATTTGAGTGGCTCAAAATGATTTGGTGAGCGACTATGTTGCGTGACGTTACAACGTTTTGCCCTTCTCAGCTACACTACTCAACAACGGGAGCGGGACATTTCGTCGAAGGTCATTTCGCCGAATGGGTAATTTCGCCGAAGAGCAAACCATTTTCTACGGTTTTGAACTTTTCTCAAAGCTCAGTAAATAATCAATGTTTTACATTTGTAGAAATGTTTCCTTCTTTTAAACATGACCAATTCTTTCGAGTTGAACTGATTTCATTATTTTCTAAACAATCAATAACTAATAGGAATGCTTCCTTCTTTTAAACATGAGAATTTCTTTCGAGTTGCTTTACATAGGAATATCTATTATTTAAATGCGTTCGAAAGTAATTTTAATTGTATATTGATTCATGATTAAAATTCGGCAAAATGACCCATTCGGCGAAACATCCTTCGGCGAAATGACGCAGCTCTCTCAACAACTACTAGCCAAAACATTTTGGGCTACTCCAATCAGAAACTCTTGATCAATTCTTATAGGAAATTTAACGCGCTTTTCAAATCTGCATGATTATTTTGGGGTTACTTTTTTCAAATAGGAGAAATGGATGTAATGTCGGCCGAAATGCCCCTAATTTGGGCCCATACATAAATTCAGAAATCGCCTAAATTTTCAATAGCGTCCAAAAATATCATTACTGCCGTCCCAATGACGCTTTCATCTAAATAAAATTGATAAAAAGCAGATTTTTAGCGATGGGCCCAATCTTACATCCATAGGCCAACATTAGAGCCATTTCCCCTACAATGCAAAAACTGAAGAAGAAAAACAGGCAAAAACCGTTGTAACATCACGTAGAATGTGTCATTTGGTAAGACTCCACTGTTAAAAAAAAAAAACTTTACGGTGCCGTAAGTCTTCAAATCAATACTGATACTTGTAGCATTACTAAATTTCATTGATATTTTTAAATGAAAAAGGTGGACCTAAATGACACACGTTAAAGGGCCCATAAACATATACAAAAAAAAAACTGGAAAAGTTTACTTATGAAGGAATTTTGACGTAGGATTATGTCTTTCGGCAACATATTGCGGATGCAATTTCAAAAAACCAAAATCGACTGCATTACGAAAAGTGGTCAGGTTTTGACCACTTATAACTCTGTCAATAGCGGATGGATTTCAAATCTAAACAAGCCAATCGATTGGAAATTTTTCTACAAATCTGTTAAAATGAACACTTTATTAATTTTCAATATGCCACTATTGAAAATTATACAAATGTCCAACTGTTGCAATGGTGATCAAACTTATCACCGATTGCCTGCAAAAAGCTCTTTCTCTAATACAGATTTCAAAATCGAATTCCATCCGGTCTCACTGAACAGTACTTATTCAATCACCGTGTGTGGTGGTGTCCGGTTGGTTGTTATTATCAGCAGCAGCAGCAGTGCTTTCGGCGCGTAGCGTTGAACATTGTTCTCCAGTTTACAACGGAAGACTGCTCACCGACAAACCGACATGAATGATCATACAAATTACAAAAAAAAAATTCTGATCAAACCACAAAACTGACATCTGCCGCCGTGTTCGTGGAACATATTTATCCTAGCCATGAACACGTGTACAAAATTTATGAGTTGGTTCGTGTCTAATCTATTTAGGACAAATATTTTTTTTTTCTAGATAAAAAAATTCTATGGTTTTGACAGATGGGATCGCTGCACATTTGAATCGGCCGTTATGGATTCTCGATCAAGAGTTAAGTTTAAGTTTCATGTCGTTTTGTCACTGGGCTGCCCGCAAGCAGCGAGCTGCAGCCAACATGAGCGCCCATTCACCATAGAAAGAGGAATAAGCCGTACCGCTACTGATCGGAATCAGTAGCTCTTTGTTAGTTGTTGTGAGCCATCTATACCAAGTGCGTCACTCTCGTTCCAAAAAACATACAACTCACCAGCCTCATCTGTGTTGAACACCCTAATAGCAACAATCAATACGAAACTAACGATTTTAAATTGGCTCACCACTTTAGTAGCCTATTGGTCCCAAGCAAACGATTAACTACCCTATTCTAGTTGAAATTCTATTACTACACTATGTTTGTTTTGATTCGCTATGAAAGTTTGACAGATAACATCAGGGGTGTGTGGATTCATGCAGAACTTGCAGGGGTGAGTGAAATAGCTTGGGACTGCTTGGGACCGTTGTTCTGGTACTGAGTGAGCCAAAAATAATAATGATTTTCATCGGGACCCAGTGGTCCCGGAGTTACCTCTATGCTAATAGCATATAGGTAACTCTAAGACCAGAAGGTCCCGAAGAAACGAGCTCAACTTTTTGGCTCAGCTCTGGTACTATCTTCGGTCCCAAGCTAATCGATGCACCCCTCGAATCATAGGAAAATTCACGAACCCCTCATTTTATCTGTCAAACTTTCATAGCGAATCAAAACAAACATTGTGTAGTACTAGAATTTTGACTAGAATGGGGTACGTTAATCGATTTGCTTGGAACCAATAGGCTAGTCAAGAAGTGAGCCAATTTAAAAAGAGAAAAATAAACAAGAGCATATTTCTTGGGAATTTTCGGAGAATACATGGGTATGCTAAATGAAGGATTACAATTAATTCTGAGAATAATTCTAGGAGAGCTTCAAAGGTATTCCAAGAGAGTTCTGACTTGCATGCCAAACCAATTTTTAGAAGAAATCTATAAAAATTGTGAGGAGAACTGAAAGTGAATTCTTTGGACAAATTCAAAGTAGTAAATTCTACGAAAATTCTGAAAATAATACCAATGGATTTCTTAGAAGTATTCCAAAAGAATTCTGAGGAACTAAGGCAATCTAAAGAAAAAAAATATGAGGGATTTGAATTTCGATGAGGGTAGTTTCAACATATTTTGAGGATAATTTCAAAGGATTTCCGAGGAGTATTTGATGGATATTCTGGTGATAATTTTTTAGAAAATTCAGAAGAAAGAATTAATATTTTTTTGAAAATTCTTATTCCATGGAAATTATAAGGAAATTAATTCAAAGAATAAATGTGAATTGAGAGCAGCAAAAAATAATTTCTATGGTAATTGCATGGGATTTAAGAATATTATTATGTAATTTTTTTTATATCTTTATTAAGGAGACTTTCAGCCCTGGGCTGGTCGTCTCCAGGCTATTATATAAATGCTGAGGAGAACTCTGAAATCTGTTTAAGATTGCGAGAAATTCATTAATTCTTGGTTTTCGAGCTCGAAATCATACCTCAAAATATTTTGCCATCAATAGTAAAAAAACTGGATAAAACTGGATGAAATCTTAGAAAACTTGGAGATTTCAAACGGTAACTGTTTAACTGGATGCGTAAAAAACTAGAAGAATCCAGTTTGAACTGAAGTGTTAGCAACAGGTAGAGGAATTATTGGCATTAATATTGATGATGTGAATAATACGGGAATATTGTCAATACCTATATATTGACGTCAATATAGACTGTATTGACAATACGATTATTGTCAATAAAAGCAATGGTGTAGGGTTCACTTAAGGGAAATGAGGAAACTGTTTGCTGACTTTTTAGGGAGAACATTAATAAGGCCTTATTTTCTCGAGGTTCTATAAGTCGAAAGTTCAAAATAATAATCCACGGCAAAGTATGAGTGGTATAGGAATCGTCATTAAACTGCTCGAATGATATGGTCATCTAAAATAATATTTCCCATGACCAGGATCTTCGTTACTTGAACTTGATTTTTTAACGTTCCACTATCTCTAAAAGATCTTTCTAGTCTGAAATCCTGAAATAATGCTTGTTCAGATCTGCATTGGCTTCTGGTTCGCTTTGAGCGATCCATTTCCCAGGAGAAGGGCTTAGATCTAATTTGGCACCTACTAATCACAATCCGCGCTTTACCTCTATTTCTCGAGCGGATTTTTTTTTCACACTGGAGATGACTTCTAAATGTATTAACCTTTCCGTAAGTACCGTAAGATTTGATGAAGAGTAACTAATTGTTGAAATATTGTTAAAAATCTAACACTTCTTCTTAACCCCAAACTCGGCCTACGGATTCTAAATTCGGCCTAACGCATTGAAACGCCATTAAATTCGGTTCGGCCTATCGGAAGAAGATACAAATTGATTCGTTCGGAGCGCTTCTTTTGTTTTTGAGAATAACCCATATCACGCGTTTTTATTATCTTCGTTCGGTAGCTTTTGAACTAAAGCATCGTACCAAACGCATAATTGACTTGCTAACGCCGAAATCATGGATTTATTTAATGTTTTGTACTCGATAGGCCAAAATGGGCGATTAGGCCAAAGTAGTTCTCTACCCTAGCATTACTTCGTCTGGGAACGCGACCAAATGCACCTCCGATAAGCGCACCGGTAATGATACCAAACATTACATTGGTCACAACATAGCATGCCCTCATCTTGTTCGGACTACGATTCGCAGGCTTCGTGAAATCTCCAGCTCCCGGCATCGTATTTGAGGTTAGAACCCTTCCTCCTATTTCTTTTGAGAATCTTGTTCGGCTACAGGACAGCTTGAAGGGTCTGACGTTGGAAAGCGTTCGAGGACAGCTACTGTTTCCCAAATCGGTGCCAAAAATCATCAGCAAACTTCGCCAGCTGTATGGACGCCCGGAACAGTTGGTACAGTGTCACATTGAGAAAGTGCGGCGATTAGATTCTCCGAAATCGGACAAATTAGCGTTGTACATTTCATTTGGCAATGCTATGGAGCAGTTATGCGAGCATCTAGAGGCAGCGGATCTAGGGCAACACCTGGTTAATTCTCTCCTTATCCATGATCTCGTCGACAAGCTTCTGGCCCATGATAAGCGTGAGTGGGTTCGTTACAAAATTCGGAAAAGGAGGGTAAATCTGCATACTTTCACCGATTTTGTGTCGAAGATTGTTGCAGAAGTTTGCGAGTTCAGAGCGGAATCCAATTTGCAACGTGCACGCCGGAAAGAGCAAAGCGAAGGAAAAGGGAGCTCATTTATACAATCACAGCGTGGTGGATCTCCGGCGTCGGCGAGCATCGTCCGAAACCTTGCAAAGCGTGCAAGCGGACCGACCATCGTCTGCAATTCTGCCAGGATTTCAAGGGCTGGACATTTCGGGATCGTTTGAAGTTGGTAGAAAAGTGGAAACTCTGCGTTGTCTGCCTCAATGATCACGGTAACGCTCCGTGCAAATTCAAGATCCGGTGCAACATCGACGAATGTCGGGAGCATCATAATCCTCTACTGCATTCCGCTCCCGTATCCGTGGTAACCATAACGCACACTTTCGAACCACCAGTACCATCATGTTCCGTATGATACCAGTGACCTTGTGTTTCGGTAAGCGGTCGGTTAATACGTTAGCGTTTTATGGACGAGGGCGCATCAGTGACTCTGAAGGAAATTTCCTGGGTGGATTAGCTAGGTGTCCAAGGAACGAAGGAACAGTTGGAGAAGGGATCCCGACGGATGGACTTGTTCATTTCCGGACGAGATGGGAATGAAAAACATCAACTCGGCACGGTTCGAACTGTAGACTAGCTGCTACTACCGAAGCAATTCCTAAGTGCGTCGGTGTTCAGTCAGCGAATGAAGAATCTTCAAGGGCTACCGATTGCTTCGTACGAAAACCAGCGCCCGGGTTTATTGATCGGTCTGAACAATATCCACTTGATTGCACCGACTGAAGCAAAGGTTGGTAAGCCTGGTGATCCAAGGTAGGATGGGCAGTGTACGGTCCAAATGAGGTGCAACCATCAAACGCGGAAGCATATCCGGTACATCACGATGAAGTAAGCAATCAGGACCTGCATGATCTGCATGAAAAGTTGCTGCAAAAATTTAGTACGATTCTAACATTGATCCGAACAATGCTCGTCCCGTATCTTGAGAGCCTTCAAATGGTAAGTTTGTGTCATGAAGATTATCTTTATCCCAAATCCTTGACAATTTCGGTTCAACATACTTTGGTTCTATGACCGAGTACCGTTCATATCAATTTGACGTGGACGTGGAGTTTTAGAGGTGGATGAAGTATTCATGGTCCATACACTATTTTTTTATTGGCCAGTGTATGTTTGGCCACGTGGGGGAGAGGGGGGTTTGAAATCGTTTAAAAACTGTACAGATGCAGCGGTTGTCAGAGCATTGCTAATTTATCTAAAAACCGGAAATGTACCGATGCAAAGAGAAACGGCCATTCTAAGGAGTAAGAGCATAGCCAGGTTTATAAAAACAGGGAGGTAAAATTTTAATGAATCATATTTGAAATTAAAATAAATCTCCTGGGATAAACCATTTCAAAGCCCCACAATCTTAAAATAAAATATATCTAAATAGAATTTTTTATGATTTACTATGTTCAGGTTATCGCAAATTGTTTCAAAGATGAACAAAAAATCAATACCTTACCTTGATTTGTTTTGACCATCCAGAACCTTGAAAATATGCCCCGTATACTGATCAAAGATCTTACGCTTTTAAGACCAGCATGTAACTTATTTGCAAGTCACGACAGTTTCAGAACCTTGAAATTTTGTTAAAATTCTGGATTTTTTATGTGTCCGTTGAAATATGTGTGTTAAAATATTAAAAATGTGTGCATCGACAATCATATGCAGAGGGAGGGGTCTAACATCCATCAATAACTTTTCATGTAGTTTTTCGCCAACTCCAAACAAGCTTCTTATAAAAGTTGTACAGAAGCTTTGTTTAGATACTTTATTTTATTCGTTAGGCCATCCCTACGCTCCTTTACTCCTCCTTTACACGGAAGAGTATTAAACCTGAGTAGCTACGCGATAATCTTGCTGGATGATATTATTATAGGATAGCTTCAATAACATAATGAAAATTTAATTTTATAAAATGTTATGCATCGGAGATCTGCATAAGTGTGTCACCTATTAGTAATACTGTTTTGTCCTTATAGATGAACATGACATATATTATCCATTTATTCATTAAGGATAATCAACCCTACTCAGCTCTGATAGTTCTAATGCTATTACAATTCTACAATACTTTTTCTTAGCTCCCAAGATCGTATCACGGCCCGGTAGCACAGCCGCCCACTATCCACCAATCAGAGCAGCCCAACAGCCTGATGATGCCATTGGTCGATCAACAGCCGCCGCACAACCATCTGCTGTTGGCAAAACATCCCGACCCGAATCACAGATATCCGATAGACAGTATGCCACCAGTCGGCAGCAACCAAATGCCGAGTTGTCTCGTACAAGCTCCATCATTGACAACAATGAACCCAAAGGAAACAAGTACACCGATGAGAAACGAAGCGAGTCTCGTCTTTCCCGAGCATCGATCCCCAATGAGGACACTGCAGCCAAGTTGCAAGGAAAGGAGTCGGAGCCTGGACGTACTGACGCTGAACGACTATCCCGGACAAGCGACAGTACAACCACTAAACCAGACGGCACCGGCAGTAGTGGCAGATTATCACGCGAATCCATTGTCGGCAGCGAACGGGCATCCAGGCAATCGATTCGACAACCTACTGCATACATCGAGCAGACACAACCCAACCAGTATGTATCGGAGCCAGGGCACGCCGAATCCGTGGAACAGTACCTACCAACAGCAGTCGATCAATACCCATCACAATCCGGAGATATGGATCAATCCTACCAGCAACCCTATGATGAGACCACCGGATACGATGCATCCCAGTATGACCCCACCCAGCAGTATGACCAAAGCCAATACGATGAATATGGAAATCAACAGTACGTGCAAGAATCATATGACCAACAAGGCTACGACCAACAACAGCAGTACCAGGATTATCAGCAACCATATGATGCACAGCAGTACACCACTGAGCAAGTATATGATGAATCAAGCTACCCCACCGAGCAGTCCGTACAGTCTCCAACCCAGCGACCTGCACCAGCGCCAGCAACCACACCAGCGCCAACAGCCACACCAGTCCAGCTGCAGGAACAAACAGAAAGCAGCCGAAATGTGGGCTACACGCGCTCGAGAAATCCCCCGGGACCCTCTGGAAATGCTCCGGCATCAAATGGAACCAAACAACCCCAGTACAAGCAACCAACAGGGGCCTCAAACAAGTAGAGACCATTGCTACAATAGCTTACCACGACAGTTGCCAGAAAGTTGCCATTTTCAACCAATCGAGTCCTATCCGAGTCTCAGCATAAGTAGCCCTAGTTTGTTCGGTACTAGTCCCGAAACTAGTCTAACGCCATCGCCAACTACAACTGTGCTCAAGAACTACAATACCGCTAGTCCTAATCCTCAGTAAGAGTGTAGCAGCAGCAATAGCCGGACGCTCTATTTAACTCTATTATTCCATTGTTTCAAGCAGACGTAACGAGAAATAAACTACTTATTCCATAGTACGCATTACAAGCACGAGAGGAAATACATATTTATGACACTACTCTTCGACATGTTTTTTTTCCGCGATCATTGATTTGAAGAAGACGTATTATCAAATAACTACATACAGTCAGGAATCCTTATTGCCGAATAAGGATACCCAGAGCTTATGGGATTTGCACTAATAGGGGCTGTAGTGGATTATCTCATTTGTTTCAATATATAGAGCTATACCAAGCTATACTGTCTTGGACAAAGTTGTTGTACTGGGATAGACCAACAAGCTTGTGTCATTGGATTCAGGTTAAATTGGGAACTATGCCACTAGAGGCGCTTCAATTTTATGTTACTTATGACGGGTGCTATAATATATGGATCTTAAGTCCAACAAGCATATTTCGTGATCATGGTCATAAAAAAGGTTACTGTCTTCAGCAAAGTTGTTCAGTGGATCATGTCCTTTTGTATGGTATTCATATTAGTTCAGAACTCTCTCACTACACAGCGCTAGTGTGCATGTGAACTTCCTATATAAACTGTATCTCGAGAACCTGTCCATATAGAAAGTTGCTGTCTTTAGGAAAGTTGTTCAGGTTGTTGGGATCCAAAATGGTGGCAATCGGCTTTCCAAGGGACATTTAGTGGCTATGGACAGCCTCGTATCAGTTCAGCACAGTTAACGTGAACCGTTTACGGCGTAGGTTTGGCGATAATCCACTAGGAAAATTAATTTTAGAGCTCAAATTCTTGCCTTGCATTAATTTTCCTGAATAAGGCTTACCAAGCCTATTGCGTATTATTTGTACGATGTGTATAGCGTATCATTAAGCAAGATGACAACGTATCGTGGAGAACTCCTCAAAACGATTAAACGCTTTAGTTTGTTTTATTTTTTCTTTCGTAAACTGTAAATCTATTCCACAATGTATTTCTTCTTTCGATGACAAACAATCAGTGCTAGTGAAAGCCTTCATTCTCGGCTGTTTCCAGAATAAAACTGTAGCTTCCCTTGACATAGTTCAGCTTGAGATTTTTGATGATGCCTTGATCAAGGGATTGAATCAAAGACGTGATATTTGGTGGCATGTATAGAAGCATTATTTAATTAGATAATACTGACCACTTTAATTTTTTTTTAACAACGATAAAATGAGATCGGTCTCTGGCGTTTACACGTCGTCCCTTCCGGAAATACCCATATTGTGGTATTTGACAGTTTTTCTTGATGCCTCTGTAACTCCCAATCCTGGAAACCCGGAACGCGCCGTAGAAAGCCCCATGGAAGCCCCCAATCCCTCCGTCCTGCCATCAGCAGCCTTCGTTCATCATAGTCGTTCCGGACCTGCTGTCGGATGCGGAGAGGGGGTCTTCCAACCCACTCACTATGGCGAGTATCCAATGAGACTTGATGATGGTCAGTTATTGCCTGATGTATCTGTGATTTCCAGGGAGAGCAGTCGTTCGATTCCTTGCCGCAAGCAGGACGTCGTGATCTTCTACCAAAACGCCGGTGGAATGAATTCTGATGTTGAAGAGTACCACCTAGCTGTATCGGATCGTTGCTACGATATTATTGTCCTGTGCGAAACGTGGCTCGATTATCGAACGCTTTCCAGTCAAGTCTTCGGTCCTGACAACGAGGTCTTTCGTTGCGATCGGAATCCTAAAAACAGCCGTAAATCTACTGGTGGAGGTGTCCTTGTAGCTGTCCGTAGCGGGTTGGAGGCAAAGGCCATCGAGAACGATTCATGGAACTATGTGGAGCAGGTTTGGACAGCCATCAATCTGGGTGATCGCACACCATTTCTATGCGCTCTGTACATTCCACCTGTTCGAGTCCGCGACAATGAACTCATCGATACTCACTGTCGTTCAGTTTTCACAGTTGTCGAAAGTGCCACTCCAGTTGATGAGATATTCATTTTTGGTGACTTCAATCTGCCAGGTGTTTCGTGGAGTCCATCGCATAGCGGATTCCTGTACCCAAATCCTGATAGCTCTACATTTCACGCAGGAGCTATTAGCCTTCTCGACAACTACAGCGCAGCGACGCTTTCTCAAATTAACCATGTAGTTAACGAAAATGGTCGTAGTTTGGACCTCTGCTTCGTGAGCACACAGGACAGGGCTCGATCAATTTCCTCGGCTCCTTGTGCATTAACTAAGCTAGTTCCACATCACCCTCCTCTAATTGTCACTGTTGAGGATAAACTCGTGCGTGATTTCGACGACTATACTGCTACGGTTTCTTATGACTTCCGTAAAGCTGACCACCGTAGCATCATAGATGTATTGTCTAGCATGGGATGGGAGAACATCCTTGATCCAGATGACGTTGAGGCTGCAGCGCAAACCTTTTCGATTGTCTTGGCATATGTCATTGACAGACACGTCCCGAAAAGAACTCACCACAAAATGTCTCACCCTCCCTGGCAGACAAGAGAGCTACGTAGGTTGAAGTCAATCAAGAGAGCAGCATTGAGAAGATTTACGAAGTATCGCACGCTTTCTCTGAAACTACATTATGTGAGGCTGAATCACATGTACCAGCGAGTCAGTCGTGAATGCTTTTCAAGTTTCCAACGAGACATCCAGCGCAAACTTAAGCTACATCCGAAATCCTTTTGGGAATCCGGTCTCCCATCGTCTATGGAATTCAACGGAGAAGTTGCTGCCACCGTTCAGGATATATGCCACCTTTTTCCGAAAAGTTTGCCAGTGTATTCACTAATGAGATAATTACTGACGACCATATTAACCTGGCTACCAGGAACGTTCCAGTAAATGATCAAACGCTGGATGCAATTGATGTTAATGCAGACCTGATGGAGTTCCATCTGTATTTTTGAAGAAACATATTGCTAGCTGTTAATTCCGCTTCTTCGCCTGTTCCGAATGTCTCGCTCCAGTGACATATTTCCATCTTGCTGGAAATTTGCGCACATGTTTCCCATCCACAAAAAAGGAAGGAAACGAGCTGTGGATAACTATCTAGGAATTACATCGTTAAGTGCCGTTTCGAAGCTATTCGAGCTAGTGATTATGGTATTGGTCAGAGGTTTTCATCAGAATTGAAAGGCCGAGTTTAGTTCACGAACAATAAAAAGAAACTTTATTTAAGAAACGATGTTAACACTTCGAATGTTCGACCACGAATGAAAAAAGCACCTACAGTACCTTTTTGTTTTCTCTTCTCACAGTGTTGCCACCAACCAAGATGAATGAGTAAGGTGGCACGGCAGTTGTACTCAAAACACTCCTCCTCAACGTATAGTGCCACCATTTGATGACAGTCCCAGCATTCCTGAGAACTTCCGTTGTTTCGTAGTTCCCAGGGGCTTAGTAAGCACGTCAGCCACCATGTGCTCAGTTGGACAGTACTCTAACTTCAAGAGACCCTGCTCACACAGCTGCTTGACAAAATGCTCTCTTGTCTCAATGTGTTTTGACCGACGAGTGGTCCTTTCGGAATTCACGAAACTTATACAGCTCTGATTGTCTTCCATCATCGTCACCGGACCATCATCTGGCTCGCCCATCTCTTTCACCAATCCACGAAGCCAAACAAGTTCTTGCGTAGCTTCGCTCAGAGCCACATACTCTGACTCCATAGACGACAAGGTAACACAGGCCTGTTTACGACTGGTCCATGAAACAGCCCCGTTAGCATAGCAGAAAGCGTATCCGGTTGTTGACTTCCTCGTACTAGCGTCGCCAGCCCAATCAGCGTCAGTATAGCCGATCAGACCATAACCAGATCCGTTATACACCAATCTCCAATGTTTAGTCGCTTTCAAATAGCGAACCACTCGCTTCGCTGCTACCCAGCATGCCTCCGTAGGAGCACTCACTTTACGGCCAAGTATCGCCGTACTAACAGCAATATCCGGCCTAGCACACACAGCAATATACAGAAGGCCGCCAACCAAACTTCTGAACTTCGTTTCGTCAGCGAAAGAGGCACTCGTATCTTCCACTTTTAAAAACCCTTCGTCCATTGGCGTCTTAGCAACCTTTGCATCACTCAATCCAAACTTGTCAATAAGTTTATCGATGTAGCCTTCGAGGCTCACACTATAGTCACCCTTCTCTCGCTTAACCTCCAGTCCCAGGAAGTAGCTCAAGTCTCCGAGATAGGTGATCTCAAAATGTCTCTTCAACGATTGGTACACTGAGTCAATCTTCTTTTCATCTTCACATCCAACCATTATATCGTTATAATCGTTATAACAGGAATACCCTCTTCCCATCTTCGATCTTCATGTATAAGCACTGATCAGAACTACTCTGCTGAAAACCCATGTCCACAAGAACACCGTGTAATTTTTGGTTCCAGCAACGTGCGGACTGTTTGAGTCCGTATATGCTTCTTTTCAAACGGCAAACCAAGTGCTCCTTGCCTTTCTCCTCGTATCCAGGCGGTTGCCGCATAAACAAGTCCTGTTCAAGCTCTCCATATAAGTAGGCCGTTCTGATGTCGAAATGCTTAAGTGTCATTTTCTTCTTTGAAGCTAGAGCAAGCATCATGCGAAGAGTCGTATTGACGAGTGCACGGATGAATTTTAGTTCACTCACTCGACAAAAAATGACACAACAGCGGGGCCCTGTTTACTAAAAATGAACACATATGTGTTCATTTTTAGTAAACAGGGCCCCGCTGTTGTGTCACTTTTTGTCGAGTGAGTGAACTCAAATCCATCCGTGCACTCGTCAATGGCTCGTGACTAAAGCCCTACAGTAAAAGTATGGACGACTGTCACCACAAAACTGAAAAAAGCTGTTCCAATCGAGCAAAGCAGTGCATTTTGACGGTTCGATTGGAACAACTTTTGACAGACGTCCATACTTTTACTGTAGGGCTTTACTCGTGACGGGAGCGAAAACTTCATCGTAATCCTCGCCGAACCGCTGCGAATAGCCTTGAGCCACCAGACGCGCCTTGTGTTTGGTCACCTCCCCAGCTGCGTTCCGCTTCAATTTGAAGACCCAGCGGCAACCTACCACCTTCCGTCCTGCAGGTAACTCCATCAGCTCCCAAGTGCCATTCTCCGCA